AGGTTAATATCCTTGTACACGTGGGACTCGATTGATGCAAACTCCACTATTCAATTAAACTACTCAGATATTTAGGATCTTTTGTATCGGTACTTTTAACATAGCTTAACTAAAATTAATATAACTGTATGAATACACAAATAAAATTTCAAAACTTATATACTTTCCGTATTTATGGAGTCATGTTAGATGTGATTAGGTATGGTTTAAAATACCGATATACTTATAGCAGATAACAGGAAAGATCTGATATTCAAAAGCCAAAACTAAATTGATAAATGATTCTAACTTTGGTCGCAATATAAAATAAGACATTTTTGTAGAAAAAATAATAGAAAGCATAATGATATTACAAAACTTTTTATAAATTAAAGTTGATTTCTATAAAATTGATAAATGAAAATTTTAGACTTCGAAAGATGATAGTATTTAAATTATTTACTTATACATGTGTTTAATCGTCAAAAACCGACTAATAATAAACGTACAAATGAAAATGAATTGCTCTGTTAAATAGTTAAACGTATTATAAAATTGATTTACAAACCAATTACGCGAAATAGTAGTTAAGTATACTTTAACATAAGATAAGCATAATCTCAAAATTTGAAATAAAAAAATTTTAATTTCTGTTTTGATGAAATTATTACGGAAATAATGTATACAATGTATAATTTGTCATTAATTAAACACAATAAAACACTGAACTGCAATTAAATTGGACATTATTCATATATTTCTAACAACATCATAAATGAATACGGGTGACCCGTGAACAGGGCACATTTAGTTGTCTTTCTTTTGCCATCTTAGTTTCGACGTGATTGCGAATCATTTCTAAGGTCATCGCTGGCATAGCTTAAAACAAGTTGCGTTGGGATTGGTCAAGGTACGCATCACTCTAGAGTTGATTGCTACCTCGACCCTTACCCCACCGTACACCTCTGTGAGAGAGATTTCTAGTTGGTCCATTCCCCCACCATCTACCTACCATTCGTCCTCTTCTGTCTTTAATGTCTCGGAATCCTCGTCGATCTCGCCGCGACCCCGACACTGCCTATGTTTTGAGCCATGTAAGTTGTGTTGACCCACGTGCCTCCTCAGGGTTGTATATTTCGATAACAATGCCACGTGCTTTACTAGTACCCGATAACTTCCGTATCAGATCTACGCTTCTTTAATCGTTTAAACGTGATTACTCAGATATTTTTGATAATAAATATATTTTATACAATAAATATTTTCCTTCTTTTTTCGCAAAGTACCAAGAAATGTTGCGCAGTCGCACGCGATGACTGAAATTTTAAACTGTAATCTTATCTGCATTCGTATTGACGACGTTCACGTATTTTATCCTTCGGATGCACTTTAAAATTATCACTGATTAACAGACAATTACGTAATGGTTCGACGCGTCTATTGTAGAAATACAAATACGTAATGATAAAATATTTTCTTATTCCTTTATGTTTTCTCATTTTCGAGTGTATAATAAATGCGTAATAAATTATAATATTAAATTTCGTATAAGTAAACGTATAACTATAATAAATATATTATGTACATATGCATATATTTTCTATATACATATATTATAACATTCTGTGATTTGAATGTTATTAGATGTGGTACGCAGTATTATTGTTACCGTCACTGCTATCGTTTTATGTCGCCACTACAGTCTCAGGGGTACTACTACAAGAACAGTAAAAAGTACTTATCATAGCCGACGATTTTACTGCCGCACGCGGCGTCCAATGCCCCGTCCGGAGGCAACCGTCGTGGTTTCTCCCCAGCACACGTGCACCGCGCGCAGTGGGTCATTGCTCTCCTCTGTTCGAAAGTAATATCGTTACGGCTCACACATTTGTCCCAGGCATGATCACGATGAAATCGAACGAAATTCGGCCATTCCCAAACGGATTACACATTACCATCGTGTATTACGACTTTTTGTGTTTTCGTTTAATGAGCATTTGGAAATAGTAATTGTATTTGGAACGCAAAAGTAAAAGTGTGTATGCTTTAAGGAGGAAATAAAAGAGATAAGTAAACAAAGAGAAATTACACAAAGTAGCGATAAAACTGAAAAGAAGAAAGAGAAAGTACATACTTACATACATGTTCTTCTTCACGTCAACCAAATTTAACCCCGCCGTAGCTTCTAATGCCCGCCATTAGCATATGTATGTATGCATGTACTTACAGTACATGACGTATCAATATTCTTAAATAGTGAGAATATAGTGAATTTTATTGTAAAAATTTAAATACAGAATTATATTCGAATACTATTTATTCGATTGGATTGCAGTTTCCCGGGTAATTGATCTCGACTATTTTATCGGATAAATCAAGGTCGGAGAAGACGATAGGAAGTGTCCCGAGGTCGATATCACGTGGCGTTACAAAGTTATGGCCATTTTAAAAAATCACAATTTTTCAAAAATTTTCCGATAATTTCGAATCCAAAAAATAACCTAACCCTAACCTAACCCAATCCAACTTATCAGCTAGAATAACTAACCTTTGAATTAGCTTAGCTTAGTTCTCCTCAGCTAAAAAAGTGATTTTTTTAAATGGCCATAACTTTGTAACGCCACGTGATATCGACCTCGGGACACTTCCTATCGTCTTCTCCGACCTTGATTTATCCGATAAAATAGTCGAGATCAATTACCCGGGAAACTTCAATCTAACCATTTATTCGTATTCATATGCATGTACAATTTTTCTTAAGTAAAATAATGGAGATTTAAAAAACTAGAAAAAAAAATTGAATTGAAGTTGAATTCGTGTGTTGGTATATTCAATCACCGATAAGAAATCTGTGATTAACGAAGCTTATCGTAGCGTACCGTGGCGTCACATATGCGTGTGTAGATTGTGAACGCGTCCCTACAGACCGGAGATAGGTGCGTCTCCGTCTGCCGGCGGTGTTTGTCGCACTTGTATCGCGGGGTCAGCCGAAACCACGACGACTGCCTCCACGTGCTGCGAAAAGCACTTAGTCGCCTTAAATTGTAGGTCGCCGACGTTGTCGCGATGGAGGGGATAATCGAAGTGGTGGGGCAGGGTCAAGCAGAGCGCTTCGGTCATGATCGATGATTTCCGTCGCTGTTCGGTACGACCAGGCGGTAAACATTGCACAGTACGATTGGCCGTGTCCTGAGGCGGGTCCTTTGGTTTTCGAGTTTGAGTTTTTCGTCGGCATTTAGTTGTGAGAAGTGACAAACGAAAGCGACATGCGTTAAAGGAAACGTGCCTGTTCGGTTTGATTCGTCGATTTAATTTTTCAAGTTACTTAGTTGAGTCGGTATTTTCCAAAGAATGCTGAGACGGAACGTGGAATTTTTTAACTCTACAAGGATCTAAACAAGAACCTCACAGGTGGGTAATTTTTAGATTTCTACGTCGTACATATATATAAATAATTTAGATTTTTATGGAAACACACTATCGTTGAACATTCGTCAATAGATGTATATCTTTCATGATTTTTTCAAATTTTCTATATATATATATATATACAAAATTTCATAAAAATTATAAAATTGCAAAAGCAATAGCTCAAATAGGTTATTTAAATTTTTAAAATGCGTTTAAAACGATTGGTTTTTTACTAAACACATTAAAATCAATAATTCATATTGAATAGAACATTCCTTCTCGACACAACATGATGGAGAAAATTTTCAGAAACGCGGAAAAACTAAAAAATTAATGACATTGAAATCGATAGTTTTCTCCTTGGCCGCGAACTTCGGCTGCGCTGGCAGCGTTGTTTTTCGCGATCGATTATGTTTTCATATTCTCGGTATATCTTTAAATTAAAAAACAGTAGGAGACAAAGAGTAGGTTTATTTGGAAAAAGAGAAAGAACGATCGCAACAGAATCTGTTAGAAGAACGCTACGTAGTGGTAGCCCGTGATGTAACTCAACGTCCTTACTGCGCGACGAGTTGCACGAGGTCGGTGATCGCTATAAAAAAATGCGACGAGTACACGTGGAGGCAGCAGTGACGGTTTCTACCACCTCGCGTCGCGGTATTGCACCACCGCCGACCACGACGACTGCCTCACCGAGGGACAACGCGCGCGTGCAGGTTTAACCCAACCTTAACCTATACTGAATTAACGACCTCGTAAAAGCATGCGAATAACGTTAGCTTTTCTTAATGACTTCTCTATCGTATTAAATGTTTTTTTACATTCAACATTTTCCCATTTGTTTCATTAATTGTAAATGTTTTTATAATTATAAATATATAATACACATATAGCATTAATAAATTCAAATATCATTCAAGTCTTATATCTTAATATTACAAAAGGCTTGTTATGTAAAATCTTTCAAAAACATTCTGTTTTTTGAAAACTGCAGGTTTTCCATATCAAAACAAGAAATGCAATTTCGCTTTAAAGATGTAAGCGATTTAAAATTGGATATTCGTATGTGTTCAAACAGCAGGCGACTGAGAGGACAACTGACGGCACGTTGTCTGAGGCCCGCACTTACACAGAACACGTGTTGAGATGTGCATGCACATACAACGAATACCTAATTTTCAATTGCCTACATATATCTTAAAAATAAAATGATTAAATATTTATATTTTTTAGGTTATACAATTTTGTAAGCACATCTTGTATATTTATTTAATTTTTATTATTATTTTTTATTGTGCATATTTATAAAGAATAGTAAATATTACAAGATAGCATTACGTATATCTTAGAAAGTTAATTCGGTATTGTTAAGCTATAATAAATGAATAAATGTTCATTTTTTGAACATTGTTTAAATACACAAAACCTGCTCAATGCTAAACTGTCATGTATAATAAAATGTTAAATCGAAATTCTTTGTGATATAAAATTCTTACTTTTAACCAAATTTAAAATTCTCATATATCTAAATACTTTTATGTACGAAATGTATATATCAAATTACAGAAAATTCTATGTTGCATTGTACCTTTAAAATCTTTATTTAAAAAAGGATATATTTACTTTTAAATATTGGATGATATGTATTTCATCTTATTTATGACAAAAACATAAGGAAATTCCAAATCTGGCAAGTTGGTGCGTCGATAATACTCGGTTTATAGGGGACGGGTAGAAGTTGCAGGATCCGTGCGTGAACGCATGCGCGTACATACATACAATATACGCACAGGAGGGTGTCATACGATTCGTGGGCGTTTTTTGGACTTGGAGAGGGGCAAGTAGTGGGGGAGATAGAGTAGGCTGTATTATACCCCAATGTTCGGAGCGGCGCGCAATCAACACGTTTATACAGAGTTGTGTTCACACGTAGCACAGCGTTCCTAGTATCTTCCTATTTACCTCATGTTGATCCTACCTCACTGCAACTAGTCTTTCAAAATATAAATAAATATATTATTATTGTTGTTATTCTATAGGTAAAACAATGTAGCGAACTTTTTTCAATTTTATACATTTTAATAGAATTAGGTGATTTATGCATTTTGTAATTATCAAAAGTTTAAAATAAACGTTGCTCATTTCTTTTTTATTAACTCTTTCAAGTTTTTAAAATACTTTTAGTAATAATATTTAATTTACTACAGATTTTACTTTTAATAGTTAATAATGGGTGTGGTAGATTTTATCAAATTTATAATGACGTAAAGTATTTTTAATATTATATCTGTTAAACTATGTGAATTTCTGTTTAATTTCACTATAAGGTATTAGGCATTCCCGCGTCAAAGTTGGAATATGAAATTCTGTCATGATAACTACAAATTATATATTAATAAATTTGTAGTTTTAATTAAAATCTTATTCATTTTGATTTAGATAAAAGGAATAATTTGTTCTTTTTATTTTTTTTCAGACTTGTAAATTCACAGTGAAGAATGGTAGGTTTCTATCACATGGAACGTATTTCGACTGCCACAACGATGTCGGTTTGCAACGAAGTGTCAACCGTAGAACCAGTGAATCCGGTGAAGAGCTTGGTATGCAGTCCGGATTTAAGTGCATTCACGTCATCAACGTGTGGTAGCAAAACTCTACCGGCAAATGTCGAAGATAAGACTTACCAGTGTTTGCTGTGTCAAAAAATCTTTGACCAGAAGAGTTTATATCAAAGCCACCTGCGCTCCCATGGTAAAGAAGGCGAAGATCCTTATCGATGTAATATTTGTGGGAAAACTTTCGCGGTACCCGCGCGATTGACCAGGCATTACCGTACGCACACCGGTGAGAAACCGTACCAATGCGAATATTGCAGCAAATCTTTTTCTGTGAAAGAGAATTTAAGCGTGCATCGTCGTATCCATACAAAAGAACGGCCTTACAAATGTGATGTGTGCGAACGTGCATTCGAACATAGTGGTAAACTGCATCGGCATATGCGAATTCACACTGGAGAACGGCCGCACAAGTGTACTGTTTGCTCCAAAACGTTTATTCAAAGTGGTCAGTTGGTAATTCATATGCGCACGCATACTGGTGAAAAACCATATGTTTGCAAAGCTTGTGGCAAGAGATTTACTTGTTCGAAACAACTGAAGGTGCATACGCGTACCCATACTGGGGAGAAACCGTATACTTGCGACATATGCGGCAAATCTTTTGGCTACAATCACGTGTTAAAATTGCATCAGGTAATTTATTGTTTGTTTAATCAAAATAATAGAATTTTATTTCATTTCATTGGCATTTCATAGTAGCACTTCTTAAATTTTAGAAAATACTAATAAATACAATCTTTAAAATATAAACAAAGTATGATAAATAAAACTCAATAAATAATACATCATTATTTTTGTTAAAGGATCTGATATTTTATAGAAAACAATCTTTTGAATGTTAGCAATAAATATTTATAAAATTTATACTTTCATCTTCACTACTTTTCTCAAATTTCATTAAGATTTAACAGCTTCTTACCAAAATTTATAACTGTGTTTTTTTGCATACTATTTAGTATTTCTTAATTTAGATTGTACATACAACAGTACCAAGCACCACATGTGCTTTCCTAAAGAAAATGGCGGGAAGGATGAATTTTCAAAATTCTAACCTTGAAGATGTTAATATTAAGATCAATTTAGAAACATTTAAACATTATTAGTTTTAAATATTATAAAATTTACAGCATTAATTTAATTATATTAAAACAGTATAATTAATATTTCAGGTTGCCCACTATGGTGAGAAAGTTTATAAGTGTACATCGTGTGACGAGACATTTGGTTCAAAGAAAACAGTGGAAATGCACATTAAAACCCATACAGAATTATCTGTTAATGGTTCTCCTCGAAACTCTCTGATTGAGCCAGAGATTGAGATTTCTCAAGCTAACAGTGCAAATACTGCCAGTGATAAGGAGAACCAAAGGACTGAAGAACCAAGTGACGACATTATTACTTATGACACTCCACAAGAATTCCCATACTACATATACTCCAGAGAGCAGTATTCGCAACCACTTCTAGTGCCAGGTGAAGACAGATCTTTCCAATCAACATCTGTGGCTCCTGTCGAACAGCCTCATTTGTTTCTGTATCCAGAAGTTTCTCCGACATACACTGGTTTTGGAATTCAGAACAATGATTTTGTTAGCGATTGCTCTTCACTTCTGAATTTACCAGGAAACGATGCTCGTAGGCGAGTGGAAGCTGCGCTTGAAGCAGTCGAAGAAGAACGGCAAAGGGAGTATGGAATTAGGGTTGAAAGAGAACCAATTTTAACTCCTCCTAGTAGTAACCCTGTGAGTCCTGTACCTTCGCCGGATCCTCTTGATTTGGCGATTCCTGTAAGAGAAACATTGATTCTTCCACCACGGAAGCGGTGTAAAAAAATTTTAGAGTCGATGGAGAGTGAGAGGAGTGGCCTCATCGCTGCACAGCGGCAGAACTCTGTTATACAGTTTGCGAAAGCTTCATAGCAAAGAAATTAAAAAAAAACTGAAAAAACAGTGGTACTTTGGTACATGGAGAAATGTGCAGGACTAGCGTACACTTTTAAAATAGTGATGGGCTTAAAAAATTTGAATGATTAACATTAAGATTTATCGAAAAGTTCAGAAATGGTGAGCATTTTGCGTTAATAAATTTGAAATATTGAAACAGGAAAATAGAAATTATTTTCACAGACAATAGTTTTATCATAGATGCTGTATTTTTACTGCATTCAAGATTTTTAAAGAAGTTTGTGTATTTTAAGACAAAAATAAGAACTGAATGCCCATCGCTAATTAACTAAAAAGTTTTATTCCACACAAATAACACAATTACATTGTTGTGGAGTTTCACTGCAAAGTTTTACGATCTGAATTAGTTTCATTGCCAAACTATGTAAATGGTTTTTATCATCTTTGGAATTTGATTTTTTTAAAACTTTTAAACATTTGAGAACAAAACGCAAGAAACATAAAAGCAACTATACAATGATATTACTTTCAGTGTGATTCAAGTAACAAAGAATATTTGATTCAAACAATCAAATTGACAATAATCTCTTGTCGTTCTAAATAATGAAAGTTTGAAGAAAATCAAAAATTGCACTGAAGAATTTCCTCCGTAAGCCTTAAACAAACCAACGGCACAACGTCCAGTAAATGTGTGATAGTGACCTCGTTATTCAACTGATTCTGAAAATTGTTTACACGTGCCTCAGGGTGAACATTGTAACATACTTACAGTTAGAGCTTGCCAGCAATCAATCCTTCTTCACTTCTAAATATTTGTGTTTTAATGAAAACGAACAAAATCTGCGACTACTAAAGTAATAAAAAACTGTTAGTTACAAAAATGATACAAAATTTATAACTTAGAAATGGTTACACAAACAACATTCTATTTAATCAATTTAGAAAATATGAAAGTAACCTCAGATTTTTAAATATAGAAAATTTAAAATGAACAAACCCAAAGATCATGTAATTTTCAAGTTTAAAAGTTCATTCTATTTCTAAATAGATTTTTGGGTTTGTGTTACTGGAAAAGACATTGTTTTCTTTCATATGATATTTAGCTGGCGTGCTCTGTGTAACGTTTTCGTATTTCATGTTATATGTATGTTAGATACGTGTGTGTGCGTGTGCATGTATAAATTACTATGAATTAGCGACAAAATAATGAAGATCGCGAGTCACTGTGGCGCTACTAGCATCAAAGGCCTTGAAACGATGTTTTCGAAACTAAATTATTTTTTAATTTATGGTTAACATTTAAATTTTGTTCTTACTTTAGAAAGCACAAATTTGTTGAGAAATTATTTTATTCAAAATAAGTAGAATGATACTTAACATATAATTTTTTTGTTCCAAAAATTACGAAAAATTAGATTTCTTAAAAAATTTAAAGGTAATAATCGAACGCGTTGATTTTTTCCGAAGCCTACGTCACCGTCATCGAAAATAAATTTTTTTTTCAAGTAATTTATTTTTGTCCTTTTAAGGGATTAAATTTCGATGTTGTGCATGTTTTATATGTCGTAAGATTTTCTGATTGTGTCGAATATTTATGCAAAAATCAATTCCAATTTCTTGCCAAAACTAGCAAGACTGACAACAGTCTAAAGAGAAATTTTGTTCTTTTCTTTGCGTAACAAGCTTCCAATGACAAAAAGTAATATTAAAATACGTAATTGCTCAATTTCGTCGTTGTTAGATTTCTGTTATTATGGAATATTAAGGTTACTTATTTAAATAATTTTTCTTGTCATTTTATAAATAGAGAACGAAAAACAGTAAAAATACTGCACTGTAATTTTTCTAAAGAATTCATACAGTTTATTCATTCTGTAAAATTAAATTTTATTACAAAAATCTAACGCAACGAAATTTGAATTTACGTTTTGAATGATTGCGTTAAGGCCCCTTCTTACATACTACAATATGCAATAATATCTTTCAATATGCTGCAATATGCATACAACAATATCCTTGTCAAATAATAATTTTATGGTTTAAATACTAGAATTGTTTTGCAACAAGAGGCCATAACGTTCATCATAATAAAATTTTAGCAAATGATTAAAGTTTGTCAGCTTCGTTAAACTTTTGAGAGTCAAAAATATGATCACGGCAACACATTAAATTCAAGTACAAAAGCGTTGAGTCGGATTTGCGATTCATAATCTTAGAGGAACATAAAAATGTAATATTACATATATTTAATTGCTGACGAGCAGTATTGATCACCTTGAGAGGCTCGGTTTTAGTGAAACAGATCTTACTGGAGTAAATGGTTACAGTTTTTAGTACGAAGGTGGAATTGTTAAAAAAGAAAGTACCAAACATTGATATCTCTGTGATAAGAACTCCATAATGCCAGAGTATTGAGGGGAGCTATGCTCACTGCCAGTACAAGTATGCGTGTATAAGCATACGTGCAAGTTTAATGTTAAATATTACATTGTATTGTCACAATTCATAACTCAAAGCCACCTGTATTTACATTTGGCATCACTCCAGTATGACATACAAAATGTTTTATAAACTAAGGACTAAATTAGCAGAAGATTCCATTACTAAGATATTACAGTATACTGTATGTACATACATATGTATCATAAAAAAGGAAATTTATACATATTTTAACATGTCTATGATAATGCACATTTTTGAAAGTAAAATGTTAACAATTTTCGAACTGTGGAAAATTATATAGTACTTTAAGCTTTATTTTTAATTTGGAAAATATTACGCTGGAATCTACTGTTAATATTTGATCAATAGTTTATAGAACGGGTTGCATATACACTGAGCCATGTTCATATATATAAATAAATATAATTAGTAATGTAATATTTATATAGAAATCCATGTATATTATGTTTTTCTTTTCTTTTTTACAAATATAATTGACACGTGGCCTATTCTTATTTGTTGAACATTTAAGATGTTTTAGGCGATTCCTTTGTTATGCGTGAATTATATTCTCGTTAATTGTAATAACGTAAAATTTATGTGCAATTGTATGTTTAAGTTTTTGGGTCGCTTAGCTGTCCTATTTTTCTTGTTTTGTTCATTTCCCAGCAAAAGTTGTTTTTAATTAATTAATTAAATACTCAAATATTTGTTATCAATTTTAACAATTGTTATGTATAGAATTCGTAGCGCTTGAAATTAGGTTGGAATTTGAATTTCCTTTGAGTCATCGAGTATAGGCCACGTGGTAGTGTGTAAAGGGAAAAAAGCAGATGCAAATTGTTAAGTATTATAATAATGACGATAAATAGATTGAAAAGTGCGGAGATATGTTTAGTGTAATATTGTAATTATCTGTTATTACTTATTATTTTTAAGGTATACAATGTGCATGCCAATGGGACGTGTTTTGTCCCATTATTGTCGGCATGTGGAACTGATTACATATAAAAGAAGAAATGTCATTTTTGTAGAGATATGTTATTTCAACGAGAAAAGAAAGCAAACTTTTGTAAGAGTGCAACAAGGACGAAAATATTTTTTCGTTTTACGCTCGCACGATAATTCAACCACCATTCGAATATAAAGTATCAAAAAACAAACCATTGTACGTAAAACGTACAGATTTTTTCGTCCTAAAAGCAACTCACTGCAATAATCCTGATTGTAATTTAATTTTATTGTCAAGCAGCATTATATTTTTTTCTGCATTAATAAGAATTTTTATTCAGGAGCCCCTGAATAATTACTGGGCGCTAACAATTGTATTTCCTTTGTTTTATCCCGCCAAAGTGCGTATAAATAATTTAATAGTCGTTTCCGACAGGAAATATATTTATTTATTTAATATATACTTATATCTATATATTATATACATACATACATATGTATTTTTGCTGAATGTCGAAACAAATTGTCATGTACTCATTGCATTAAAATATATTCTATCGTAAATGTTGTTTTTGAAATTTTGCGTCTAGTTTTAATAGTAAAATTACGAAAACATAAAAACAAAACTCTGATGTACAATATAATTAGACATTCAGTTGCTAACCCTTCAAACTTCTATTAAAAGGATAGTTTACTCTTTTTTGCAAGATATACCATATTAGATATTTAGAGAATTGAATTTAAAATTTCTTATTTCTGATTTCTGGTAATTAGGCATGCGCGGTTGCAGTATTCCGAGATCAGGAGCTCGGATGAGATCGGAAAAAATCGGACGAGATCATAGCCTGAATGTATTTTTCTATGTGTATAATATATTTACATACGAGTATTCATTCGTATTTGAATTCGAAAGCTTTTGGATATCCAAGATTTAGACTAATTGGGAATTGTGGTTAAAATGGATCGTTTCCTGTTCGTAACATGCCCCTGGATATACTCAATCTTTTTAATAACCTTTGGCAAACATGTGCAAAATGATCATAAATCCCCAGCACTCGTATGTATAATGGTTGATGTTACACGGTGCGAGAAATCTCGTTCGTAAAGAGCATGGTAAGTTTATTCCTTTGACTATATACCTATGGACTGCTAACGGCCCCCACTTTTCCCATTGAAGCAATGTGTGTATTGAGTTCCATCAAAGTGTCGCAGTGAAGTTGGCTACACATTCACGCCGCGTCGTCGGCACCTCGCCCATCGGCTCACCGACGCGGCGTGAATGTGTTAGTGTGCCAACTTCACTGCGACAACTTCGATGGAACTCACGTGCCAAGATCTCAGCGCTACCATGTCCCAAAACGCGGGAAAAATTTAAATTGCTTTAAAACTAATTCGACGAGGAAAATATTTTTCACGAAGAAATATATGTAAGGGTGTTTAAATAAAAGTCCAAAAGTTGTCAGGATATAGTTTAATGCTCGTTCTAACACTCTCCGTTTCTAATCGCTATGCACAGTCAATTCCGTTGTCTCCTTACTTCTGCGCCCGGCGCGCTTTTTCGGTTCCTTAAAAGGAAGGTCCGCGCCCCACTCTTTTTGGAAAACCCTTAGCTTTCCGCTTTCCGAGGCCTGGTCGTCATCGCCGTAGCGAGGGGGTGAGGACGATCAGGCCCTTGTCAATTCCCGTCGTCATAGGGAGCCCCAGATGTTTTACGACGGTACCTAACGGGACTCTGGACAACGTCACTGTCCCAACACAGGCTCTTACAACTCGGCCAATCCTGACATTCGAGACCCCCTGGTCTCGCCTATTCATGTCTATTCGAACACAAAGCTTAATTTATTTGCTATTATAAACTTAAAATTTCTAAACCTAACTCTAAAATATAAATTTACTATTTCTAGTTTAACAAAAACCTAAACTAATTTGGGCACCAAGGTCTCATATTTGCGGATGACCAAGTACCCTGGTATGGTCTCTGGGTGTTTTGAAAACCTTTAACGTCCGCTACAATGTAACGATCGTGTCGCAATTTCCTTAGAATCTCGTAGGGTCCCTTAAATTGTGGAATCAATTTTAGGGAGATCCCAGGAGTACTTACAAAATTCTTTAACATAATAAATATAATCTCCGACTTGATACTCGTAAGGCGGTTTGTGTTTCTTATCATAATACGTCTTATTATAATTTTGCTGTTGCAAATTTTTTCCCGCTGCTATACGACGACACTCTTCTAATTTTGAAGGTTCGCGACTTGCTTCAGTTTGAATACACTTTTTTAACACATCTGGCACTTTACCCGTTTGGTCTACTCCGAATAATAACTTGCACGGTGTGTCACCCGTGGCTTTATTCACCGTATTGTTTAGTGCGTACTCGGCGTCTTCTATTACCTCGTACCATCGTTTTCCCGGACGGTCCTCGGTCATTTTTGCTAGCATGGGTCTTAGCACTCGATTGACCCTTTCTACCTGCCCGTTTGCTTGGGGTGATGCCGTGGCTACTTTTTCATGCCTGATACCATTCACTAAAAGAAAGTTCTCAAAATCTTTGGACGTAAACGCGCTGCTTCTGTCCGAAATAACCATTTCCGGTTTATTATAATGGGAAAAATATGTTTTCAAGCATGCGATCGCTTCCTTTGCGGAGGTAGTTTTCGTCGGGTATAATTTTACATGTTTTGTGAACGCGTCTACAACTACAAACACATACTTTTTAATATTCATTGTCCTATCGACTGGACCAAAATGATCTATATGTACCTTGACGAATGGAACATTTCCCTTGGGTATGTTATGTAGGGATCCTTCAACTCTTCCCGCCGATGGTGAATATGCGATACATTTTAAACAATTCTTAATGTGATCGACAATTTTAAACTTTAATTTCGGAAACCAATAATTTTGCATTATAGTACTGCTAGTTTTATCCGTTCCCAGGTGTCCCATCTCGTCATGATACTGATAGATAACGTTTTTCTCCATACTTTGCGGTACATAAAACAATAATTCATTTCCATACTTTCTATAAACGAGACCGTTTCGCATTTCAAAAAATCCATCCTCTCTAGTTTCTAATTTCTCCCGTATTTTGGAAATTTCGGGGTCCCGGTTTTGCATTAACGCCAAGTCCAACTCGAACGAGTTTCCATCCACGACGAAGACATTAGTGGATCTACTAAGCGGTCGGTGCACTATTTCGTAATCGAAGCTCTGAAGCTCCAATGCCCATCTCGCAATTCGTGGATTTACTTCTTTTTTATTTAAAGTCATCTGAAGTGAACTACAGTCTGTTAAGATTTTAAATTTAATCCCATATAAATAAACTCTGAAACGTCTCAGCGCGTAAATTATAGCTAACACTTCAAGTTCAAAGCTGTGATACCTGCTTTCGACTTCGGTGGTACGCTTTGAAAAATAGAATACTGGATGAAATTTCAGGTCATATTTCCGTTGCATGAGAATTGCCCCATAACCCATTGAACTGGCGTCACAATGGAGCTCGGTTTCATCTTTTGGGTTATAGATAGCTAACACCGGGGCTTCTACTAGCTTTGCTTTTAAATTGTTAAATGCTTCTAATTCTTCTTCCCCGAATTTAAGTTTAGCGTCTTTTCTCAGTAAGTTGTATAACGGTCTAGCAATGAAAGCAAGTCCCTCAATAAATTTACGGAAATACGAGCTAAGTCCTAAAAAACTTTGTATACCACGAATATTCTGTGGTATTGGAAATTTCTTAACAGCTTTCACCCCACTTTTCGGCGGACTGATGCCTTCCTCGGTTACGTAATACCCTAAATATTCTATTTCTTTATACAGAAACTTACACTTATCTATTCTTAACTCCATTTTATTTTCTACAAGTAATTCAAAAACGCGGTTTAGAATTTGAAAATGATGTTCCCACGTTTGGGTTGCCACTAGTATGTCGTCTATGTATACAACAACATCACCTGATTTAATTAGTTCCGAAAAAACTTCATTGACAAACCTCTGAAACCGAGATGGTGCGGTTTTGAGGCCGAAAGGCATTCTCATGTATTCGAACTGACTTAACGGCGTGATGAATGCAGTGTATTTTACGGAATCTTCTGATACGCTGATGTAATGGAACCCGTCTTTCAAATCTAACAGACTATAATATTTTTTCTCGCACAAAACGTTTATCTGATCCTCGATCAGCGGAAGTGGATAGTTATCGCGAGCAAGGACCTTATTCAAAGTTCGATAGTCCACACACTTGCGGAGCTCTCCATGTTTCTTTTTTACCAAGACAATCGGTGACGCGTATTCAGAATCGCTTGCTCTAATAACTCCTTTGCTTAATAATCCATCTAACATCTTCCTTAATTGTTCTTTTTCCGCGTAGGAAATTCGTCGTGGTGAAGTGTGAAAAGGTTTGTTGAAGTGAAAACTTCTTTAGGCGCGTTGAACGATTTTCGGTAGGGGAAAATCTTATGAGTTCGCGTCACCGACATGCTCGAAATGACGATCTACTGCTCTGGTACAATATCAATCATAGTGTCCGTTCGTCTAGTGTATTTTGTAATTTCAAATAAATGATTGAAATTCTAAATTATTGAATATTTTAAAGCTTTTATCAGATGATTATGTTAATTAATTTAACGCTTTTATTAAATAATTAGATTTATGATATTTGCTGCGGTTAAACTTGGACTCCAAAGTCAGTGCTTTTTCACTAGACGAACGGACACTATGATTGATATTGTACCAGACTGGCGCACGCGCTATAAGGGTAACGTGTTGTGCAACATTAGTGCTGTGTATATCTATACAAGTAAAGTTAAATTGACTACGTGGAAAGTATCAATATTTGTGTTTAAAAATTTGATATTATTTATTTTTTAGTTTTTTAATATTTAACCGGTAATTATTTAGATTTCGGACAGTAACTCCGATTTCGATGATTTTTAAAAATGTTGTAGAAATCAACATTTTCAACAACTTTTTCCTATACATATAACCGCCGCTCAGACTTAGTTTTCGAGATATTTTCGAAAAACTGTCGAAACTAATACATTGCACAACAGCACGGTGACCGACACCAATATACAGGGTGTCTCAGAACTGGGGTAGGAACGGAAGAGGGATGATTGGTGAGGTCATTCTAAACAACTTTTTCCTTTGCCAAAATGTTGGTTAAGGCTTCGTTTTCGAGTTATTAACGAAAAACACTGGCCAATCAGAGCGCGCCGTTAGCGCGGGCCGAACCACGAGAGTGTTGGGTATGTTCCGCGCGGTCGTAATCAGGTGCCTCGGCACTACGTCGGTATGATGGGATTCGTTGAATAGAAGTTGCATCGGATAATGAATAAAAAAAAGAAAAGAATAATTGTATCGAATTATTGA